ACACACACACACACACACACACACACACACACACACACACACACACACACAGTTTTTGGATCCTTGTTCGGTTTCTGTAAAAGAGTTTTCCCTAAAACCAAACACATATACACACCAATGAAACCACACTTCTCCTATAGGAAGGGCAACGCCCACTTTTTGTGTAGGTCAAGATTTCTGGAAACCACAGAGAGTGGGTTAGCGTGCTTGTCCTTAAGGCGACCATATGCATCACAGGTGTCAGATTTGCGACAGACATCGGCGATCAGGGTTCTCCTTTCATTCCTTTGCTCGGATTCTCTTAAAAGGCACATTTTCAGTTTCCAAGGACACCCAAGCTTCCAAAATCACCAAGCTTTGGAAGCCACCAAACTTTTACGTCCATTTTCTCGCTAATTTTCTCTATGGAACCAGGGGACCTCCACCTCCTTCCATTGCAAATACCTACCTCGACTTTCATTCAAGATGGCTGGGTCTTTATCTTCATTAAAAGCAAAGCAAATGACCAAACCTTAATCACTTAAATGAAGGTTAAGCAAGAAGCTTCTCACCCCTGCAGGTTTTTTTTTTTGGGGGGGGGGCATAGTTTTACTATGGGGGAGCAAAGAATACCCCTGTCGTGATACTGCGTGTCGTAAGAGGCGACTAAAGGTGCATAGGTCTGGTCTCCCGAAAAGTGGCAGTTTGCGCAGGGCCAACTACCCGACCTAGTAAAAACAGTCAGTTACCGAAACACGGGCAAATACGGCTTTTTATTTTTCGGTCTTGGGAGATGGAGGAGCTTCTGTATTAGCAGGAACAATGAAGGACAGTGGGATGTACAGAAAAGTGGGAAGATATGGCTAGCACAGGCAGCCCAGGACAGAGAAAGGGGGAAAGTGCCCATGGCCTATACCGTGCCTTGACGCTAAATACCTTTCTTCCTTTCCCTCCCTCTTCCATCCCTCCTCCCCACGCCCCCAAGGTAAAGGCCAGGGGACCAGACATCCCATGTGACTGCCTGTGGGAACACCTTGCCTACCACTACCGGACCAAACTAGAAACCCACTGTGGCCAAAGACATTTCGGAACTTTCAGCAGCCAGGCCCAGATGTTCCAATGTTCCGGCTACAGAACAGAGTGCCCCACCCCACTCGGCCACACGCCGAAGCAACTCTGCCCCAAGATCCTGCGAGACGACAGAGCCCCCACCACCCACCCCCCGGACACGCGCGAAGGCGGACGGGACGGGCACGAGGTTCGAACCCAGACACCTGGCGAGTCGGCCTCATCCTCCGCGGCGGGTAGACATGTGTGTGTTGAGCTGGAGATAGTCGGTTGTCTGTTGGTGGTTGTTAGAAGAGTCATCATTGCAGGGGGATTATTTACTTAGCTCTGTTGGG